AGTTACTGGCTATTGTTGGGACTAGGATCATATTCTATTAGAATTGCAGGATTCTCCTGTTAAGTTGTGTTTTTTCTGTTTCAGTTCTGGCATAAAGCATGTTTCCACTGCGAGACTTGCAAGATGACCTTAAACATGAAGAACTACAAGGGCTACGAGAAAAAGCCGTATTGCAACGCGTAAGTGTCTTTTTCCCTTCTCAGCCTGCAAAATTCTATAAAGTTTGGTTTCTAGTACCTTGGCTGTTTTCTTCTGCCAGATTTCCTGTAACTATGGGCAAATGACTTGCACACAGGCAACTGATGATAGCTGTCCCTGCTTACTTGGGGTGCGGGATGTTTGAATTCTCTGGTAATAGGGAGTAGGGTGGAAGAGATGAAAAATAGTAAAGATATTTCTCAAACTGTGGGTCATAACCCTCTGGGGGGTTGTGAGCAATTTAAGAGGGTCACAGATGACTTGGGGGTATGCATGATGGCGGCATGGAGTGCTGGAAGGCAGTGGTGACTGCTGCGTGCGAACTCCCTGTCCCCCCACTGCTGCCATCCAGCACTCAGGGTTGCGGTACTGCAAAGTTTGAGAACCCCTGATATAGAGTAAGAGGCAGGAAGGTACTTAAGGAGCACAGCTCCTTCAAGGTGTATCCTTTGAGTAGGAAATATGCCTAATGTGTTTCCAGTGATGGTCTTCCTTAAAACTCTCAAACAAGTTCTACCCCTCTGTCGATATGACACTAGTCAATTAAGTTATTTCTGGATCGGTACCAAGCTGCCTTTGGCAGCATACTGATCATGAGAAGGCCAGTGAGGACTAATGAGTCAGAGGGACTTTCCATCCTTTTTCTTGTAATGATCCTACTTAATGCAACAGTAGGGGATCATCATTTTACTTCTATGGAGATTTAAGTATAGAATACTCCATAATGGAACTCTGACAACATTGAGAACTCCATTGATCTTTTATGGTCTCTGACAGATGACAGTCTCTTGGAAGGAGGGATAGAGCCATATCTAATATAAACAAAAACCAAGGCACTTCTGTAAGCATCTGCTGTACAGGCACATTTTAGTTTTCAGTGTTCCTGTTGCTTCGGTCTTTTTGTGCTGCTCTGTCACGAAAGTGAAGCTGACTGGAAACGCGGCTTTTCATTCTGGCCTTGATGAGCAGAAGCTAATACAATGGTGAAGCAGACAGTCTGCTATTAAGGTGGCAGTGGCAGCAGTCTGGGGCCAGTCCTGCCAGTTCTACTGAATCCACAGGTGAACACATCAAGCTGAGTCTTAACATCTTCATAGAGCAGCTTGCACTAGAGGATTTTTGTAGCGGTTTTTCATATGCCATACAATTCTTTTTCTAAGAGCTGTTAATACTACTTAGCATTTGTATAGCATGTTCCATTTACAATTTACCTTTAAACATTTAATCCTGACAACATCCCTGTAAGATGACTATTTAAACCTATTTAAGGCAGAGGGGTGGGAAAGAGAAAGCTAGGACATCTTGCTGTACCAGGTGGCCTAGCAAAAATGTCAGTTGCTGCAACCCTTCTACAGTGTTCCTGCTGCTGACCGTGCCGATGGAGCTATAACCATGGTGAAGGGGGAAACTGCCAGTAGTGTGAGGTTGCAGTCAGAGGTGACATATGTCTAATGCCACTGGAATTGGTGTTTTGAAGTGTAGTTAGACATCTAGTGTTTGGTCAGTTATGACTTGGGATCAGGTTCCCTGATATACAATGCTATGATGCAGTGGAAGAATAAGTGAGACTAACTTTATTGGGTTAAACACTGGATCCTAGCTGTGTCCTAGGAATCCTGCTTCTTCATTTAATAGGCAAAATAGGAAACTTTTTGTAGTGCAAAATGTCCAGTTTGTACAGTTGTCAACTGCTAACTCCAGCTTTAGGGTATAACTAGTCAGTGAGGGTATAGAACTTGAGCTCTGTGGGACCTCTCCCCCTTCTCCTTGCAATTGGGTTTTAGTAGCTGGAAGCTGATTGGCTAGCTATGGCTATGAAAAGCTCTAGGTTGGAGACTGTCAGCCTGTGGGCAGGATCCAGCCTGTGGAACCCTTGGATCTGACCCTTGGATGTGTGGCGGCAAGGAAAAGCTCTGGCAACAAGTGCCTCTGACTCTGGCTTGGCTGTTCCATCTTGCTGTTGGAAAAGGTTGCCTACCCCCTGCTCTAGGTTATCACAGGAGTACAGGACAGGATTTGTTTAGCAGCAGGCAAGCCTGTTGGATTCCAGTCTTGATATCCATCCCAAACATCTTGTGTCTGGCTGAAAAAGCTGATTATGAATGTAGTATAGCCAGCCATTCAGGATCTCGTCAAAAGGTTTAGCTTTCAGCAAGTTGCCTCTAAACTGCACAAAGTACATATGGGAGGCTTGGCCTCAACAGCCCTAGAAATGGACTTTGACTGGTGCCAAAGGTTGTTTACTTCATACAGATTTGCATGAAGTAACCTCTTCTCATTCTTGCCAGGTATGAGTAAGTGGGAATGCTTTTAGTGAGTCTAGAAGAAGAAAAACTGCCTCTGGTATCAGTACAGACTTGTGGAGAGCTGCCCCCTGAGCTTTTAACGTGCCTACCTGCTTTGGGCTGCAAATAGTTTTTCCCTCTCCATCCCTTCTCCTGTTTCATAGCTGTCTGCACTACCCCTCATACCTGGCTCCTCTGCAGCTATTGTTGGCTTAGGCACAGAGGGAAGTAGGAAGTGCTGCTGGGGAGTATGCTATGGAGAGGAGCAGCAGTATGGCACAGCTGTGTGCTGCCCAATTTGTTCCAGGCCAGGTGGGGCCTGGAACAACCTCTTTGCTGACCAGATCCAGGACCATAGGCTGCGCACACCTGCTTTAAGGGGTCCTGGCTCCATGGCTTTCAAACTTCCTAAAGTCATAGAACCCTTTCACATTGCCTCTTGGGCATTGGAGCTGCTACCCCTGTCTTAAGACTGATGCAGAGCCAGGCAACTTGGCCCAACAATGGTGATTTCACTGCCTCCCGGCCTGCTCCGCCCTTTGCAGAACTCCTGATGACCTGTCGTGGGACCCTAGGGCTCCACAGAACATGGTTTGAAAACCACCGTCTTAGGTTATACTAGAATCTTTTTTACAAGACCTTGAAGCAGTGCATTGTTCCTTCTGACTGAAAGGCAAACTAGTATCTGGTTCTCTAGAGAGAAGCCCTGAGCTAACACTTAGGGTTGAGATCCCTTGTGTGGTGACTTCACCAAGGGTAGGAAGCATCCCAGCTCCACTGGTGGCTGCTGCTCTGCTTCTTTTGTTTCTTTATGTAGAACTCAGGCTAAACTTAAGCCACTCTCAAACTTCAAGTAAAATATGTTACTCTTAATAGCTGCCTCTGGCCTTGAGGCTGGTAGCAGTATCACAAATACACAAGAGACTATGTCTCCTGATAGGCTTCTGATTTTGTGTTAGGTGAAACCCAAAGCCAGCATCAGTAGTGCTGTGTGCAGAAGGAAGAGCCTGGAGTCCTTGCTCCTCTCCCCTCCACCCTTGGTGCAAGGGAAGTGGGATAATAATGGGAAATTCCTAAGATTCCAAGGAGTTTGCGCAACCCTGGACCCATCTCAGTTTCTCAACCCCTTCTGACCAAGAATTCCCTTTGATGTTGAGCTAGTGTCTTAACCCTTCAGTGCCCTGAGGGCATGCTGTCTGGTGAAGAGTTGGTTGTCCACCGTGCCGAGTGTCTCTGTGGGGGATGGGTGGAGTGAACAATGCAGTTAACTACATATTGGTGACTTAACAGCTGGGAGTTGGCATTATCTCCTTATCTTGTGTCCACAAATGTAATACAAGCCTTAAGTAAGACCTGTTCCGCTGCCAGATCCGCTCTGACTTGCAGATGAGAACCTATAAACATCTGAACTTCTGGTTTTGTTAAAATGTTCCTCTTCAGCTTGCTTCAGAACAATCTTCCAGGCTCCAGGTGCCTGGTTCATGACATGTCTACTGTAGGGTTGTTGGTTGTAGCCATGTTTGCCTAAGGACATAGGCAGGCAAGGTTCTTTGGGTAGGTGTGATATATTTTGTTAGACGAACTAAGTAGTTGGGAAGGGGGAGTTCTTTGCAAGCTTTTGGGCACAAACGCCCTTGGTCAGGCATGGGGAGACTGCTGATATTGTTCTCCAAGGTAGCGAAGAAGCTAATTTACAACATGCAGGTCTGAAAATGCAAATGAGTGGAAGTTTGGAAGACAATGGGTAGAGATAGGAGGGGAGGGGGAGGAGAACGTAAGCAGTCAGCTGTAGGCAGGTTACCTGGGGTATGAGATGTCAGGCAGGTTGTCAGGTGTCATCATAACATGGTCCATGACATGTAGGAGATGACACTTTTGGTGACTTGATAGCATGCATGCTGCTTGTCTGCCCTTTATCTCGAGTAATGGGAAACTGGTGGTCCCATTTCTACATGAGGTGGGTGTCTATGTTCATCCTTCAGCCAGGGAAGGATGATATAATTGGTTCCCATTGGACATTAGTTTAGTGCCTTGTTTTACCAGAGGTATTCTGAATGACCTTGTTCAAGTCATTTAATCTCTACTCCCATTTGTGAGATGGGAATAATGGTGCCTCTCTCCGTTACTAGGATAAATACACTAGACTGCATTGACCAAATGCCAAAGTAATGCAAAATGGGTAGCTTCTGTTATCCTTGGCACTCGTATATCGGGGGTATCAGTCACTTCAGTATCTGAGAACCTGCCACTTTACTCTGGGTCTTAAGTCCTAGTTCAACTGTTCCATTTCCTGGTTTTGCTTTCTCAGTTACTGTTCCTGTAGCTCTGTGGCTTCCCAGAATAACCTGGGAAGGGAGTGGCCAGATAAGGTGTTTGCCTTCATCTGACCCTGTGTCTGGCACTGAGAGAGTCTAGCTCTGCCTAGATGGGGCTCACCCTTTCTAAACAGTCTCCACCACTAATTGCTAAAAGTGCAGAGGGAACAGCTTATGTCTGCTAAGGGGGAGAAAAGCAACGTTTATACTGGCAAGGAGGAGACTGCTTTTCTGAACATGCCTTAACACAGGGTCTCCTCTGTCTGAGTGCTGGCCTCCTGCCAACCTCCTAAACTTCTCTTTCTTCAAGAGAGCAGTAGGAAGAAGGCTGGGCTTCCTCCCTGCTATCTGACATTACTCTGTAATAAATCTGCATGCAGC